ATTCCACGATGGAAGATATCCGGCTGACATAATTTATCAGTGGACTTTCCTGTGAAGGGGAGTCATCCAAAAATCACATTACTTGGTTTAGGGGAACCACCTGGAGAATTATGATCGGCTTAGACATGTGAAGGGAAGACATTTTTTTAAGAAACTAGCTGCAGCATAACTCAATGGTTGTCTGTCAGCCAAGACCTTCGAGTTCGAGTACGCTCAGCTCCAAGGCATATCATTTGCAGTATAACTTAAGTCGAGAAGGGTTATCTGCCAATCAAAGAACTTCGAGTTTGACTACGCTCAGCTCCAAGGCACATCATTTGTAGCATAGCTTAGGTCGAGAAGGGCTATCTACCAAAGACCTCGAGTTCGATTACACTCAGCTTAGATAGCACATCATTTACAACATAACCCAAGGCTAAAAGGGTTATCTGTCACCAAAAGACATTCGAGTTCAACTACGCTCAGCTCCAAGGTATATCATTTGCAGCATAACTTAAGTCGAGAAGGGTTATCTGCCAACCAAAGACTTTCGAGTTCAACTATGCTCAGCTCCAAGGCACATCATTTGTAGCATAGCTTAAGTCGAAAAGGGTTATTTGACAAAAACCCTCAAGTTCGATTACACTCAGCTTCGAGGGCACATCATTTACAGCATAACTCAAGGTTAGAAGGGTTATCTGTCACCAAAAGACCTTCAAGTTCGACTACGCTCAGCTCCAAGACATATCATTTGCAGTATAACTTAAGTCAATGAGGGTTATCTGCCAACCAAAGACCTTCGAGTTTGACTACGCTCAGCTCCAAGGCACATCATTTGTAGAATAGCTTAAGTCAAGAAGGGCTATCTGCCAAAGACCCTCGTGTTCGATTAGACTCAGCTTCGAGGGCACATCATTTACAGCATAACTCAATGCTAGAAGGGTTATCTGTCACCAAAAGACTTTCGAGTTCGACTACGCTCAGCTCCAAGGCACATCATTTGCAGCATAGCTGAAGCCGAGAAGGGTTATCTACCAACCGAAGACCTTCGAGTTCGATTAAATTCAACTCAGAGGCAAATAAAACTTACAGCATAGCTCGAGACAAGAAGGGCTATCTGTCAGCAAAAATTGTCGAGTTCGATTCCATTCAGCTCGATGTCTCATCATTCATACTCTTTGCCGGTTGCAGTCGAGGTTTTCAAGTCGAGAAGAAGATCTGGGTTAGCCATGCCTTAGTAATAAGAAACCATTTTCCGACAGCATAGCTTAAGTCAAGAAAAGCTATCTGTCAACAAAGGCCCTTTGAGTTTGATTTGTTTCGACTCGAGGGCCTGTTAATCACATGGTGGAGTCAATGAACTATTTCCAATCGAATTTTCAAACCAAGGTCTTTAAACCGAGAAAAGACCGAGGCGGACTACGATGAGAATCCAATTCAAATTCCGGACTACGACTTCAATTCCATGTCATTTCGAGATGGACTCGACTTCGAAACGGAAGAGCCATCCGCAACCCAATTCGACAGGGAGTTATTCTTCAACTCCACCGAACGAAATTTTTTGTCTTTTTATCTTTGTCCTATTTTTCGTTCCACGAAAAAGACAAAGAGGGGCAGCTGTAGACACTAATTTTCGTTCACATATTTTTTTTATATACATATATCTATATATATATTATAGTTTGCAAATGATTTTTGAAACTACGTATATAATATATAGTTTTAAAATATTTGGAAAATATATAAAATATATAGTTTTAAATTAAAATATTTTGAAAATATATAAAATATATAGTTTTAAAAAAACATTTTTGAAAACTATATAATATATAGTTTTTAAAACATTTTGGAAAATATATAATATATAATTTTTAAAATTATTTTTGAAAACTTATATAATATATAGTTTTAAAAACATATATATAATATATAATTTTTTAAAATCATTTTGAAAACTTATATAATATATAGTTTTAAAAAAACATTTTAAATATATATATATATATATATATATATATATATATATATATATATTTTTTAAAATCATTTTGAAAACTTATATAGTTTTTTAAAATATTTTTAGAAAATATTTTTTGAAAACATTTTTAAATATTTATAATATATAGTCTGAAAATGTTTTTGAAATTTTGGAAACATTTTTAGAATATATATAATATATATTTGTTATTATTTTTATTATTCATTTATTATTTATTTTATTCATTTTGTTTTTTTTCTCTCCGGATCCAAAGTGAGTTCGGGTCCAGCATAGGCTAATGGGCCTGAACCAGCCCCAGTGCCTTAGGGTTTCTCACACACATTTTAGTCAAGCATCATCGTCGCGTGAGTTATGGTAACCAAAAGGTCATGCCACCAACAACAGTACACGCACCGGTCAACATGGGGATTTTCGGTCGGGGAAATCGGGACTGACCCGTCCCGAAATCCCCGACCAACGTCGACTTGTTACCATATTGATCGAAGCAGACAAACGGTCGGAGGGGGTATAAATACCCCATCATCGAGCATTGCCAGGGGGCATGAAGGGGAGACCCAACGACATCGAACATCAACACAGAGAGCAAAAGAAACCAGGAACCCGTCATAAAACACCACCACAACATTACAACCGAAGAAAAACCGAGAGCCATCGAGATACAACAGTGACAACAACGAAGCCATGGAAACAAAAATAAAACCATCAATCTACCACAGTATATCAACATCAAAACAATAAACACAACAAAGCCAAACAAAGCAAAAAAACAGGGGCCATCAGAAGTAGAAAAATCGTCAAAAAAGGTAAAAAAAATTCAAACGGGTTTTCCTAGATCTACACGATTTGTGGTGTTTTTGGAGATTTTGGCTTTGGATTGTTGTTGGGGCTATTGAGAGGAGCATTTCGGTGCAGTTTTTGTTTTTCTGACCACCGCCGGTGGTGGCCAGAGGCGACGACGGACGGTGGTTTGACCACCAGATCGGTGTCGGCCATCTCCTCCTGTGAGGAGATGTAGAGAGAGGCGAGAGAGAGTTTCTTTTATAGTGTGTGTGTGAAATGAAGAAATGAAGTGAAGTGAGGAAAGAAAGGCCTTATTTTAGGCTTAAATAGCCGAACCAAAACGACGCCGTTTTATCTAGGGGTCTTCTACGTATTTTTTATTATGGGATAATGGCGTATAAGGTCCCTGTAAGTTATATTTGTTACATTTTAGTCATTAATTTTTATTTTTAACCCTGGAATTCACGCACATTTCAATTTGGTCCCCTATTTTTTGTATTTTTGTATTTTTTTTATATTATGTTTTTATTATTAGTATTTCCTTTTTTTCATATTGTTTTATTTTATTACTTTTAAAAGTTAACATTTTTATTTATATAATATTTTTTATTTTAATTTTTTATTCTTTTTATTCTTTTTCTTGTATTTCGTTTTTTTCTTTTGTTATTTTTCTATGATTTTTTACTTATTTAATTTTTTTCTTTGATATATATTCATATTCATATTTTTTTTATTTCACATTTGATTCATTATTTTAGTTTTTTTACTTTTCTTTGATTTATTTTTATATATACATTTATTTTATTTTATTTTCTCTTATTTTCTTCTTTTTAATTCATTTAACATTTATTTATCATTTTTTGTCTAATATTTTTTCGATCCTTTTTTAGAAAGTCTAACCAATCAGAGGTAAGCATTTCGAATCGAGTAATTTAAATTTTTAACTTTTCGCAATTAAAGACAATCGATAAATTAATTGGTACTGAAAAGGCGGTTCAAGGGTGCTAATCCTTCCTTGACCGTAACCGACTCCCCGTACCTGACACGTTTCTTGTACAAACACAGATCAAGTAAGATGGTGTCCGACCCACCTAAAATCGTTTTAAAATGGTCGATGGCGACTCTAACCCAAATCAATTCAAATCGAAGCTCAATTTCGGATCCAACTGAAATACGATTCCGACAATAACAATATTAAATTCATCCTTATGAAAAAAGATAAATTAAATCAACGATCAAATGCGTAAAAATGCGTCATAAAGATTAAAAAAATATGTCATAAGATTAGAGAAAGGCGTGCAATAATGACATGGTCGTTAAAAAATAAAAAAAAAACAAAGGAAAACCAATAGTTTGATATAATAATTTAAAGGAAAAAGAAGAAATATCGGGAATGGCAACCAACACAAAGATGGGTGTTTCCACCTTTCAACAAAGAATAAAGAAAGATATACAAGAACTTTAGGATATTTTAAATAACATAATTATTTTAAGTATTTGTCAAATAACAAATTTAAATATTTATAAAAATAAATTAATTTATCATAAATTATTTAAACATGAATTATTTATCTACTATTTATTTAACACGTCAATTATTTAAATATGAATTATGTAAATATTATTATTTTTAAATAAATTAAGTTTATGGGATAAAATGATTCATTAATACACGAGAATAATAAAAATAACAATTAATTAATAATTTTTTAATTAAAATAATATTAACAATTAATTAAATATTTTTAAAATTAAAATTTTCAATGTGAGGCTAAAATTTTAACTAATAAAAAATTTAACTTTCTAATACATTATGTCACGTAAACTAAAAATATATCTAACAAAAAAGGGCTTTCATGAAGTATGATAAATTAAACATGAGTATATAATTTAAAAAAAAATCATCTTTCAAAATAATATTTTTTACTATTATTATAATTAATTTTTTAAAATGAATATTATTCTATACCATTGCTCGATAAACTTGGGGAATATGATGTATGAATGTAATGCTAATATTATAATATTAAGTGAATATTATAATATTGTAGCTGCAAAGTACTTCTGGTCCTACCTGTACTCGCTACGCTCTCTCTCTCTGTGTCTCGTCATTAGCTTTTCCTATGTCAATGTCTTCCTCTTCTTTATATACTCCCATCACTCTCCCTTCTTTTTCCCAAACAAACATATCATTACAGATCTCATCTTTGTCTTCACCATCAAATTAGTTCAAGGTTCATCCATGAAGCGACTCATCCGCCGTCTCGCCCGCGTCTCCCACGTTTCTTCTACCAATTATTGCCTCCTCCGTTCCGATACCACCTCTCGACATGGCACTGCTTGTTCGTTGAAGAAGCAAGCGCGGCGGTCCGTCCCCGAGGGTCACGTGCCCATTTACGTAGGGGAAGAGATGGAGCTGTTCGCCGTGAACGCCCAGTTGCTGAACCACCCGGTTTTCGTCGCGTTGCTGAATAAGTCGGCTCAGGAATATGGTTACGCCCAGAAAGGAGTGCTTCATATTCCGTGTCACGTGCTGGTTTTTGAGCGAGTGATGGAAGCATTGAGACTCGGAGGCGCGGAGTCACGTGAGCTCTGGGATCTAGTCGGTTGTTTCTCCGACGACTGCTTTTTGAATTACTAGGAGGAAGAGCATTCAACAAAAGGTCTTTTTATTCTTTTTGTAAACTAATATCGAAACCCAAAGGGAAAACGAACAAGTTTAGGGTCCTTTTTTGTGTGGTCCTGGTTCTAGTCGGATTTAAATTTGTCTCTGTTAACGAAAATCATATTGATAAAATTGATGTGTACTGTGGTTTGAAAAATGGTGCAAAATTTGTGTTTGGTTGGAAGGCAGGCCTTCCGAAATACAATTGATGTTTTCTCATTTTCGTGTTTAAAGCCAAACGCGGTTCCTTATGAGTGAGAAATTTGAATATAAAGCCTCCTGAGATCCAAACATGGAGAATGGAAGTTGGTAACTGGGAGTGGAGAGAAATAAATGTTGTTTGAGCCAATGGGATTTCCTATGCCAGCTGCTATCAAGTATAAAATGTAGGTTTTTTACATTTTCATTTTCTAGGGATGTTTAAGGTACGAGAGTTTTAATATACGATCAAGTAAAATTATTATCGAAAATATTAATATTTTTTAATATTTTCGGTAAAATATTATCTAAAATATTATTCTTTTTATAAAAAAATGTTAATATTGAAAGCTACTTAAAATGTTATTTTTCCTACCAAAAATTAGGTAGAGAAATTAAAATTTCTGGTAAAAAAAATAATGTTTTAGGTTACGCTTTACCGGAAATGTTAAAAAAATATTAACATTTCCTGTAGAGTCTTTCATTAATCATATATTATTAAGGCAAACCGTATAACAGAACTACCTCATTTTCTTATAAAATATAAAATATTGAAGAAACATGTTTGGTGGTAAAATTAAAAAATGATTTCTATAAAATAAATACAAAATTAAGTGAAAATATGAAAATATAAAAAATATGTTTTCAGTATTTTTATTAAAATGTTTTAGAAATTTTAAAAATAAAAAATATGAACTTTAGATCTTTAACTTAACTTATGCATGTTTAAATCTTTCTAACAATATTTTTTTATTTAATGGTATCTAAAAACCTTAAACTTTTTGGGAAAAATCAATATGATCCTTAAACCCTTTTTTTTACACTCAATTTAGTCATTAAACTAATTTTTTTTAATAATTTAACTTTTAGCATTTTTATATTTAATGTATTAAATTTCTTAATAATTACTTACATTCTATATTTAAATTTAAATAATTATTTAATTTAAAAAAAATTAAAGAGTCCTTAAAATTTATAAAATATTAATTAGGCCCTCAAACTTAGTAAAAATAATCAATTAAACTCATAAATCACATCATTATCCATCACACACTGCCACAATAACATAATGAACTGACACATCAACATTATAGATTATCATGTAAACTTTGTGAATTGTCATGTAGTTGTCTTGGTCGTTTGATTTAGTTGGTCAAAAAATTAAATAGATTTTTTGTGTTATGAAATTTATTATCAATTTTATTGTTTTTGCACAACTCACATGTTAAATTTATGTAATATTTTTTTAATAATTATATTTTAATTTAATTATTTAATAACTATTTATTTATCTATATTTTAAAAAAATAGATACCTAATATATTTTCACAAGTTTTATTTTTTAATCTAAGCTTTCATTTATATTAAACAAATGTGTTTTCTAATTTTCAAAAAACTCAAAATGAAAACTATTTTCTAGAAATAAAAATAGAAAACAAAAAAAAATATTTTTTAGAACCAAAGGGAGCCTAATATTTTCTTATGTTTAAAAAAAATCATAATGATGATATGATATTAAATTTGAAATTTTCATTCATCGCATTAATATATTTTTAATAGTTTAAAATGATTATAATAAAATATTTATTAAAAATTAATTTATTAATTATACATATTCTATTAACATAAATGTTTTAACTTAAAACTATCCGGAGTTTATATGATTTGGAAATGCCATGTCCATGTGTACATAGAACAAACTTCATTACCCCTTCTCTTCCTTACACAATCTTTAATATTATATTATTATTATATTATATTATATTATATTATATTATATTATATTATATTATATTATATTATATTATATTATATTATATTATATTATATTATATTATATTATATTATATTATAAGAGATATAGAATTAATTATATCGAAACATTTAATATTAATAAGTTTATAAATAAGAAAAAATCCGAGAAATATATGTATTGTATTATGGAAAATATATAACTAATAAAAACTGGAAACCAAAATTTGAGGCTACATGACTACATCGTATAAAAGGTTGACTAAGGGAAAGAATATCGATAACGTATATTATCAATCAAATCAAACTTAAATTGGTAATACATCATAAATATATTTAATTAAAAAAATCTTACTACCTCAGTCCACATAAAATATGTTAGTTATTGAATTTTATTTGGTCAATTTTTAAAACTTTGATAAGTTATTAAAATCTATTATAGATAAAAATATATAAAAAAATATATTTTACAAATCATTAATCGAGTAATTTTTAAATATATATTTTATAAAATTTAATTATTTAAAATATTTACAATAATCATGATTAAAGTTTGAAAATTTTAATTTAAAAAGGTCAATAAAAGACATCATTCTTTATGGCACGGAGAAAATAATAAAAAATAAGTAAACTCTTATCATTTTATTGTATCCAATTTAAATGTAGATTATTTCATTGTTCGAGTCTCTTTATGTACAAAAATAAATAATGATTAAAAGAGTGAGAAATACAACTTTTTCTCTCTCAATATTTTGAACCACCTTCTCCTTTTCGTTTGATTTTTGTTAGCCGACGGTAGTGTTAATTTTGATATTGATTACTGATCGATGATGATTGTTAATTCTCTTATTTCTTATGCTATGTCATTTACTTTTTTAAGTTTTTTCTCATTTTGAATAAAAATATATGTCCTCGTGACACGTTTTTCTATGTTATTATTGCATGTATTCTCTATACTCTTTTGACACAATCATTATAACTTTTGATACATTTTTTACATACCTTTGTGATCGTTTTTTTGTTCGTACAAACGATATTTTTTCTGATTGATTTATTTGTGGTAAAGTATAACCAGATGCCCTCTTTGGTATAAGTTTATTTGCCTATATGATCAGAATTGTGTATCGACACAGTTTGCTAGATGATTTGGTTCACTTACAACTCTTTTATCATTTCGTAAAATGTCTCGTTTGATAGAGACAATGAGTTATTATGCAGGTTACTAAATCATTTTGATGGTAGTTGTCATTCTCAAGAGAAGATTTCGTTTTTCTTCGTACCTTTGGACTTAATTTTATTTTGAATGAGTTTTTTGACACTACTGTCTCCATTTTTCTTTACGGTTGGGTGCATTGTAATTATGATTGATTCTATTATTTTTTTATTAATGAAATTAAATTGTCATTGTTTAAAAAAATAATGATTTTAATTTTAACTTTTAACTTTTTAATATAGTATCTAAACAAATTATTTTAATTTTTTTCGCATCATATTTTAACCTCTAATACTAAACAGATTGCACTTTTCATAATAATTTTCATAACACTTGAAAAATGTTTTTCAAAATTCAATTCAGTGAAAGTGGATTCCGCACAATTTATTTGATTAAAACCAAGTCGAGTTCAATCAAAGAATGAGTTATTTAAATTATCGTCTTTGCTACTATGGTTCATGTTCGTCTGGAACAAATACTTGTGGAATGAGTGGATTTAAATTTCGGTCGCGATAGAGTTTTTCGATCGCGTTGTGTTTGTTGCGATTGCAGATATAATGGATGCTATTGTGGTCATTGCAGGTATCGCGATCATAAAACTTTTTTCAAATGAGTTAATTTAAAAAACTGTTTTTTTAAATAAAATAGCGGAAAAAAGCGAAACAGCGTTATGCGATTGTCAATTATCCGTTAAATTGCGGTCGCGATCCATCGTTATTGGTGTGATTCCGCTGCACTCTACTATTTTCCGCGATAGCAATCTCGAATTCCACCGCAACCGTGATACCGTTATATGACTGCGATTTGAATCTCTGAGTTGAACAACTACCGTTACAGTGACAATTCTAAAAAATTAATAAAAATATTAAATTAAATTAATACATTTTATACCTACTCGAGATTAATAAAGAAATTAATAATTAAAATAAAAGTGAAAAATAAATAAATGATAGATTATATAATATACTTATTAAAATCAAGTCAAGGTCAACTAAGCAATGAATTATCTAAGTTATTGAGAGTTTGACAAGTCAGATATTTTGTGGATACTTCTATTCAAGGAATACAAAAGGTGGGAAGTCTGTAATATTGCCGATTTCAAGGATTTTGCAGTGTGAACCGGGTTTTGGGTGACAGAGCATTGAAGTATGATTGGTATAGGCTGTTTACAGCTTATCATAAGTTGAACACACATAAGTTGAACACACTTGTATATATATATATATTAGTAATCCGGAGGCGATATACGATACCAAATAAGGATGTGTAAGGGTGGGGTTTGGGTCACGTTTCGATTGATCTGATCGATCCGAAAATTTTACATTCATCATCTAATTTTTATTTTTAAAAAAATTGATCCGATCAAATCGAGTTAAAACTCATGGGTTCAAGTGTCATCTCCATTCCTAATACCAAACATCACGCCACGCGCTCTTCATCATTGCTTCTTTCTTTCTTAATATTTTTTATTGTTATAATTTAATTAAAACGAAAACAAAAGAATTATCTTACAAGTAAGATCCGAGTGTTAATGCAATGGTTGTTGAGTTGTATATTTTCTTCTCATTCTTGGAAAAAGAAGATATAAGAAGTTCATAAAATTTTTGGGTTGCTTTAACGATATATATATAAACTTAGAAGCAGACATGCCTGACCGGATACATATATTATTATTAATAATGAATTTTTAATTGAGAAAATAACCTCAGTGACCGAAAATACCTTATAATATACGATTTTGATAAAAAAAATTTCGATTTGCCAAAATGACCATCAAAATCGTAATGCGATCTCTAAATCGCAACGCGATCTCCAGTATCACAAAT